AAGGACAGATTCTAACACTGTCTATCTGCAGGGTGGGGACTATAAATCTGATAGGATTTTTATCTTTTTATTGCTGTTTTGCACAATATTCTTAACTACGTATTTTTTGTTGTTGAATATTAAAGATTTTTCAGATATATTTTTTATAAATACATTGTTTAGATTTACTTATATCTTTCTACCCCTTTTATAGAATAGAAAATCCCCTTATTGTCCCACAATGGGCAAATTTACAGCAGCAGAAAGATTATTGAAAATGGTCACACAAATGTGGACCTTAGAAAAATGTATAAGAATAACATAATAGGGAAGAGTTAAAATATAAACAATAAAATACTGTAAAGTGTTTTAACAATATAAAACTGGAGAATAAATAACCAATATGCAGCTATGGACATTTTTACAGTAATGGATATTTGAAAATAGCAGCAACATCAGAGATGTGCAGAATGACAGCAGCAGGTTATTTAACTGACTAAGGTTTCTATCATTACATTTGATTTTATTTGTTCCTGCTCCCGGTGGTTGGAACATTTATTCCACTCTGGATTCTTGTGAGTGTACAGTAGTCTTTGTTCACTTCACAATAAAAAAGAAATAAACAGTTTTGAAAACTTCTGTATTCATTCTTTTCCTGCTTTGTGTGTCAACGTTTACGGTTGCTAAGCAACAGAGCATACGGCGGTAAAACCCACCGAAGGGTAGACCTGTTCGAATTTACAGCCTAAACTCTTCCGGTCTCCTTTTTTTCAAGGACTTCGAAGGATCCAGTCTAGGTAGACCGCGTCCTTGGAGGACACGTCCTAGGTTTTCGAACAGAGCCCATGACTTCAGAAACTTTTGGAAGGGTCAGAGGTCAGAAACACAATCCCAAACCTTGATGTTCATGTGCGAGTGAAGGAAGGGAAGCAATTATTTGGTAAATCAGGTTTTTATCAGTTTTTATGAACATGAATGATGGCTTTTAAAATCCATCCATCCATCCATCCAGTATCTTACACGCTTGTCCCAATTGGGGTCGCGAGGGGTGCTGGTGCCTATCTACAGCAGTCAATGGGCGAGAGGCGGGGTACACCCTGGACAGGTTGCCAGTCCATCGCAGGGCGACTTTTAAAATCCGAAAGTTGAATTAGAATAAAACGATGCCAATAAAGGAGAATTGCTTTGGTTTACACAATCCTAAGGGAAGACAGCTACTCTTAAGTATATATTTCTAGATCTCAATTCCACAACTTTCCAGACTCCATTTCTCTCATCTCCTTTAAAAAAAATACTTCCAAAGATCATTCATCTGAACTTTTAATGTTAGACCCAGAAGATCCAGAGACTATGAAAAAATGATTTATAAATAACATTTAGACAGAACAATTGGGATTAAAAATCCATTAAACTGTGATGATGTAGACATTAAAAAAACATTGTATTACTTGTGTTTACCATCTTTAGTTTTTTTCAACTTCATGGTCATTTAAAAAAACAGTAGTGGTTTAAATATTTATTGAGATGCTTGTGCAACTCGAATATCTTCAAGAGCAAACTTGCCAGAGGTTGCCAAGGCAACCTCAACTCATCATGTATTTGCTTCAGTGTAAAACATCTAAAATTATTTTCTGTGGAAAATGAAAATCTTACAAGCTAAGATGCAACCAAAATGTGTTTTAAATTGCTTTATTAATATAGTAAGGGGTGCAGATTTTGTTGATTCATCTTTTAAAATAATTTCATTCAAACTAAAATGCAATAATCTGCCAGTGCAGGACAATTACACATGGGAAGACTTTTTGTTTTGAGAATATAATTTCAAGAAATCTTACAAAGATGAATTCTTACTGCACTGGCAGATTACTGCATTTCATTTCAGTGGAGTCTTCTCAAAGAAGATTAATAATCTAACAGAATCTAAGATCTTGCTTAGCATGTTAATCTTCAAACAAGATCAAACACTTCTTGGACAGATCCAAGATCCAAAATAGAAAGTCTTTGTACTTGATTTTCTTTTCCTGACATAACAGGGTTAGGGCTAATCAACTAGCAAACACAGAATTAAAAAAAGTGTATTTGCCCTTAATTTCAGCAGGTAAATCAGGTAATCTGCAAATGGAAGGACTATTTTTGCCCTTAAAATACATTTTGCATTTAGATTGAGACATCGTTGTTTTTCCTCTTATTTTAAACATCTTATTCCACATGCTAAAGTTTTATAACTTACTTGCTCAAACTAAGGGAAAAAATTACTTCCTGTTATTTTAACAGGAAGTACTTTACTGTTATTGGCAGTAAAGAAGGTGAGTTTATAAAATAAAAGCAATGTGACACGAGGCAACACAGAAAAAAGATTTTATTCTTGAACTGTTCTTACAAGCAGTCCAACACGCAACTTTCTATCTCAAAAAACAAAACAAAAAAAAATCGTTGAAATAAAAGAAACTTTAGAATATTCACTGAATAATATTACCAGTCAGATAGCTTTTTTTTTTTCCTTTTACCATAATTTGAGGAACCCAAAAGCAGTAGTATTTGTGGCGTGAGAAAACAAGAAGAGTTTCAGACGGGTGTAAACTGGAGGTTTTCTAAAGTAAGCCTCGGCTGAAAGCTGGACGTGTGCGGAGGAGAGACGGGGCTCCTCGTGCACACAATAAATATGAAGAAAAAAAAAAAGCACAGAGTCTGGTGTTTGAACAAAAAATAATCATCTGGAACTTGCAGGTACAATATCTCTAAGAAGTCTTTATGTGCAAGATTTCGAGCTGAAGTCATCACCACAAACAATTATACTCACATCAACATCCCCGACCTCCAGTCATTGTTTTCTACATTAAATCTTTTAAATAAACCTAGAGCGTTTTTGTCATTTCATATACACATATATTTATAGATACTTTTTCTCCTATATGCTGTCCTTTTTTTGCGTGTCCCAGCGAGAATCTGTGACATAAAAGTAAAACGTCCACCGGATGAGGATACGAGTCACTAATGAGGCTCGGTATGCTCCAGACTCGCATAACATACAGTGTGGAGGGGAAAAAAAACAAAAAACCAACAACACAGAACTGGGGATGTGTGTGTGTGTTCAGAATCACCACGGCAACATGGTGGAAAAACCAGACCTGAACACAAACACCAGCGGAGAAACGTTTGGTCACAGTTTTGTACCCTTTCCGACGACACGTCCACCTTAAGAGTCTGTGGGAGTGGATCCAATCGATCGGGCTGCTGATGCGTTTGTGGAGAGAAGCGTCCAAACTGTCCTGCTAGTTCCACTCGTTCATTTTGAAAACAAAAAAAAAACTATTTGGCACATTTAACAACTGGTAAGTAACACATCGGGCTAAAAAGGTGCAATAACAGAACTTTCAATGAAAACAATAAAAACATTTGGTTTACAAAAATAAAAGACACCTCAAGAGGTGGCAAAAATCTCTACAACATAAGATTTCCCCTGACGATAAAGGCTATGTGTAAAAAAAAAAGAGCAATATACCGAAATCAACCCTTTTTCTACTGAAGCTTTTGTATTACAGCTCTGCAAATCTTAAACGCCACAGACGGAAACATCGTACTGCATAAAAATCTAAAAGCCCTGAAATCACAATAATTTCTCCTCCTGCTGTTCGTCCTGTAACACTGCGTGACACCCTGTCCAAGAAAAAAACGTAAACTCCTTCAGCCTGGCCTGATTCACCCATAATCAACGGGAACCATTGTGGATTTGTTTTAAGTAAAATGAAAAGAATCAAACTAAATGAGCTGAACTTTAGCTTCATCTTTATCACCTCTGCTCCAGATATGGCAACAACAAAAAACGTCAAACCGCACATCTGCAGCAACGAGCCAACTCCTGCTTTTAAAACGGCGTGCAGTATTTCAGGATTCCCTGTACTTTGGATAGTTAGGACATGCAGCTTATGCTTGTGACATTACAGAAAAATCAAAGAGAAAACCAAGCGAAACATCTTAAAAGCGGGGATGTTTTTCAAACTAGACACAGAGGACGAAAAATTACAGGCAGAGAGATAGAAAAATCGAAACTGGATTTAGTCCAAGTCGGACCTGAGAGAAGTCTTCAAGCTTCCATGTGGTTGAAAAACTTCATTTTTCAGCACATTTGGCTGAAAGCGACAAACCGAACAAATTATTAAAGCAGCATCTTCTGACAACTTCTACACTGAAGAGTGTTAAGAGTGAATGAGCGTGGAACAAGTGGTGTTTTTGGCCTTTCAGGGGGCGGAATGACGGCTTCAACCACAAGGTTTGGCCATTTCAAAAAATTCCTCATCTGAGCAAAAGACCCTTCTGATTTTGAGGCTTTTATTTTGTAGTCCAAATCAGCTAATAACTCCTTTTAAACCTTCATGTAGAAGAATTCAGGGAACTCAATAAAAAACTCCAACTAGACAACCGCTAGCTGCTAACCATGCTACAGGTAGCATGGTTAAAGTAGCATTAGAATTAGCTGTTGCTGCTAAGGCTGCAGAGACACCATTTCACAGTTTCTGAAGCTTGAACTGCATTTCCTTTTCAATTTAAAATACTTGATCAAAGCGGAATATGATCTTTTAGACTCTGAAACTACGGACCCTTTATTCTGCTTCTGAGAATCCAGAAAGGAAGCATTTCAGTCCTTTTGAAGGAGGCGGACCGTCTTCAAACTAGACGAGGCAAAAAAATCAACAACAAAAAAACAGGCAACACAGCCCGGTCAAACATTTTCTTATTTCTTAGAACACAGTCGGTGATTTGTGAAACTTTTTGTACCATCACGGTGAACAAAAACAGATAAAGGGGAACTTTAAACTTTATTAAAAATACAGCTAAAAATATTGTTGCTAAAGTTGGAGGTTTATTGTTGAACCGGAGACGTTTCCGTGCATCAGATGGGTGTTATTCTACTGGCTGGTTCTACTTTTTCTCTGCTTTACCTCCTTTTCTCATCCACCTTTTCCGTGTAAACCCAGCAGGATGTGATCACGTGGTCTGAAAACGGACCTGCAGTTAACTGCCCCCCCCCAGTACAATGCAAACACAGTGGACTTTAACATTGATGCACAGAGAAAGGGTTGCTTATATACACTGAATATGCTCTGCTCTGCTGCAGGCCTACATCCATGCTTATGCATCCCCAGGTACATTGGTCTTCCTGTTTCCCCTGGCAACCCGTTGCTGTTTGACAGCCAATGGAATCTCGGTCACCATGGAAACAAGCTGCACAGGAGCCTATCTGAAGAGAGTCAGTGGTCCTCTTTTCCAGGACTGGAATGATGAGCTGTTGCCAAAGAGGGGTGGGGGTTGCGGGGGGGCGCTCCATCCGGCCGCTCAGGTGACTCAAGTAAAACGTCCATGTTGGCACTTTGCACACTTCAGTAACTGAGAAGGAGGGGTGAGAGGATAAAGTTGAGCAGCAGGTTTTCCTCTGTTCGGTTTCCCCGGTAGCCGCGCCCCTTCCGCATCCCCCTGGGAGGAGTTCTCCCCTTTGATTGGACCTCCTGCTCATCTGATCCAAAGGCTTTTTCATTCTAGCCTCTCAGGATGTTTTAGAGATCCAATCAAAGGGAGGCTGGAGTTCCTCTCCCTTCTCTCTGGGACTGGCAGAGTGGCGTCAATGAAGAAGAAAATTATACTAAACCTCCTCCTCTTCATCGTGGTGTCAGTGTTGGAATGAGGCTGCTGAGTCCGTACACACACCGTGTCGTGGTGAAGTTGGGGCCGCTGTCTTGTGGAAATTAGTTGGTGCGCAGTGTGTGTGTGTGAGTGTGTGTGGAAATGCGTGTGTGCTCGTTGATTCACAGCCCGTTGCTGTTGCGGTGTGTGAGAGGAGGCTTGGAAAGCTCCACCACGCCGCCTTGGCCTTTGCCGATCACTTTGGGGGCGCGGCGCAGCAGCTTCTGTGCTTCTGTGAAAGTCTCGTTCAGCTCTTTCTTCCACTGCACAAACTCAGGATCACTCTGGGGAAGGCAAAGGAAACAAGAATCAGCGCTCAGGTTCCCGAAGCTTCAACATGGACGGAACGGCCTCCCACCTCACACTGAAGAACGAACTGCTTCCCTCCTTTGATGCGCAGCAGAATGCATTTCTTGTCTTTAACCTGCGTTTCCTCAACCGTCACGATCTGCTCCATCGTCAGCAGGTTTTGCTTTGGAAAGAACAGAAAGAACATTAAGGTGATGTTTCCCTGAGAGCAGCATTCATGCCGATTGGTCCAACATTTCAGATGGAGAACCAGTTCCTGACCTAAAGACCCGTCCATGGTGGAAATAACAGGAAAATCTGCCACCGTATTGATAGGCCTTACCTCTTTACAGTAAAACCACAAACTTTACTGAATGTAGGTGAATTATACTAGAGGCACTCGTACCCCTAGTGGTCCACAAGTGCATTGCAAGCACTGATCTCTATTTCTTCACAGGATTGCTGAAAGCCTGAAAACAGTGAAGCCAGTGGTCGTAATATTGGTACTCCCCACTCCCACCGAGATGCGCCATAAGTATGCCTACATTTGTAGCATTTGACTGCTAAAACAAGCAGCTTGCTGGCTGTGGGAAGATGTTCCACGGGTAATTCCCCTGTCAGTGGATGAACTAACCAAGGAAATCCACATATAGGCCGATGTATCCCATAGTATCGTATGTAGCGTAATATTAGTCCGGCTAGTTCGGACTGACACGAAAATATCGGCTAAATTACCCATTGGCATTGTGTCTAAAGTTAGAAAATAGAAGGTAGAGTAAACAGAAAATAATTAAGTGTGAAAAGTTAATATGTAGAAATGTAGTAATCAATTTTTGGGTGGATGATACCATCGTTTTTGTAGTGTTTATTGTATTTCTCATTTGAAAAAATGGCCTGAAATACTTTGCATGTTATATTGCATAAAAAAATTCAACTCAAACATCTTTAGAGACAGATGCACAGACAGCATAAAAGTATCTGGCATCATTCACGCACAATTTGCAAATAGGAAAATACTATAGGATTAAAAGTACATCAATTTAGCACTTTTGGCACATCTGTATTATTATGTTAACACATTCATTTTATTGTGATGGATTTGTATAATATGTTATGATGTAGAGACTTCATAATGATATAGTAGTAATAAGTAATGTGCTTATGCTATGAAACAGCCAGTGTGTGTCAAAGTGATGAATTTATCTTTATTGACCTTTATTTTAAAAGTGTTAATCCCGCCTAAAAATAAAAACATTAACGTTGTTCAATGCTGTAACCGCATGTATTGTTTACATTGCGACTGGTCTAAGTAGGGAGTACCAATATGGCGGCCTGTGGCTTCACTTCAACCTCATACTACCAACGGGTAATCAGCAATCCAGTGAATAGAGATCAGCGCAAGGGCTACATGAAATATTTTATTTCTTCGGTAGTAAAGTAAAACAGGGCTGGAAAGAATTTAACGCCTTTTTTATCAACCAAAAAGTAAGTTTTTCCTTGAGTTCAGATAAAAAGCAAGCAGAGGAACAGTCTGGGATCAGCTGTGTTTCATACTGAGCTATCGGAGCTCAGGGGTCTGGATGAAAACAAAGTTCATCTCATTAAGTCAGACTGACTAGAATTTTTGTTCCCAATTCATCAAGTTATGTGATTATAAGGGATTTTTACAAATACAGATTTATAAGATGATTTTATTTTATATTCATTTCGACTCCTAACTAACTTCCAGGAAACATACTAATGTTGTTTTCTTTTTATTTGAGGTGGAAAAAATAAAGGATTAAGATTAAGTCAAATAGTTTTTATTTTATAATCAGCTACTGTTCTACTTTTGACTGGGGGGGGGGGGGGGG